GCCCGCTCGCACCGGCTTGGCGGTCTCGCGGGCGGGGTGACTGCGGGGCGCGGGTCCCCCGGCCCCTGGTTCCGCCGCCGGGCTGCTGCTCCTTAGCAAGAAGTAGGCCCTGGGCGCGGAGAGCGGAGGAGGAAACGTCCGCAGAGCCACAGGTGTTTCCTCGCGGAAAACGCCAAGGCTGTGTGGGGAAGTGTGCCTGTTTAGGTAGCGCCCAGAATATGCCCTTACGAGTGCTTTTCATACTGAAAACTTTGGCGACGACGCAGAGCTCCACCAAGATGGCAGGGCCGGCCGGGGCGGGTGCCTGCGTCGCGAGCGGTGGCCCAGGTCGTGCTCAGCCCCGCTCTCACGTCTGCACCCCGAGCAGCGGCGCTGAGGCCGGCAGAGTGTGACAGAGCAACCGCTGTTCACCCCTCGGTTCGCTAGGAACGCCCGCGTCACTCTTACTGGTTTTGTTTTTGTCTATGTTGTTGTTACCTTGTTTTTAAAATTCTCTTTAAACAACTCTTTAGAAATGAAGGATCGTGCTTACACTCAGTGTTTTAGGTATATAAACGGGTACGCTTTCTTCCCCCATGAAAATGCGCACTGAAAGCCTCCCAGTTTAAGGTTTGCTAACGTACATGCAGGTGAGATCGGTGGTTGCAGGTGTGTGGTTGTACCGCTCTGCGGAGAGGGCGCGTTTGTCGTCCGCAGTGCTGCTGTGACCGCTAACGCGCTCTACACTTCCCACTGTGAGGAGGTGGGAAAGGGACGCGAGAAGCGGAGAGAATCGTCCACCAGCCTGGACGACCTGGTGGCCCAAGCTGCCAAGTTGTATATCTGTGAAAATCCCTGTTCCTTTAACTGATGCCTGCTTACCAAGCATCTCCTGACTCAGGGCTCAGGGCCGGATGCCTTGCTTGGTGGCCATGATGTACATGGCCTTGTCTGTGTCTTCCTGATTGAAAGCTGTATGCTTTGGTAGTTGATGAAGACCTTACCTTTACCACACCATTGTTAATGGAGTATTTGCAGATGCTGTCTGTGAAATTGGAATTTTTTTTCCTTTCCTATGTCAGGTGTTTAGAGTATCAAAGCCAGGAGCTGTAGAACCTAGTGCATGGTAGTCAAGTGCTGTGTGTGACCTGTACCCACTCCTTGAGATGTATTCTGCAGTGTTAATACATATTATAGACCCCTAAATGGAGTTTTGAAATGTTGGTTTAAGTGAGACTCAGTAGATTAGTATGAGTTTTATTTTTAGTATCAGTAGCTCTTAGATTTTAAAATTTTCTGTGAAGCTCTAATTTGAATATAATGGGTTGTTTTCTCTAAAGTGCATTGACTTCAGAATCCTAAATTCTAACAACCTGGGAAAGTTGCCATTAGAAGGTATTTTGGGAAATGTGTTTTAACTCTACAGAGTTTTGTTTTTTAACCATTTATCTCACCTCTTCTGCCAACAGAAGTGATGGCACCCAGAAGAAATGGGAAGTACAAACTTCCTGTTCCACTTCCAGAAGGCAAGGTTCTGGATGATACCGAAGGAAAACAGTGGGTACTGGGCAAGATGATTGGCTCTGGAGGATTTGGATTGATATATTTAGGTAAAATGTAGTTGTAGATTACCAAGTACTCTTACATATGTGCTTGGGACGGTGATGGTATTTTAAAAATTGAAACGGAAGTAATATAAAATTTATAAATGTACTTTATTGAGTAATTTAAAGGTAGTATTTAGTACATTAACTAAACATTAGGTTGAAGACCTGACTGCCATGCTCCCTGTTGTCCGGGTTTTCTTTTCGAATGACTCTTAGAAGTCTTTCAGAGCATAATTACACAGTCTGCCAGACAAAATGCTAATGCTCTTTTTGTGAAAACTTGTTTTCCTAGAAACATTGCATTTTACAGCTCAGAAACCACAACTGTGTAAATGTAAATACTTTCCATTTGTGAATTTTAATCATTAATATTTAGGTAATACAAGGATCTAATCATTTCTTAATTATGTACCACTGGAGAATTAAGCTTTAATAACTCAAAGAATTTATTGAATGGAATGAACTGACTTCTCTCTTGAGTGTATAGTGGTACTGTCCTTCAAGTAATTGAGAAAATAGACTCTCACATTTTTTTCTGTGTTCTGTGGTATGAACCCTAGATGAGTGTGTGTGTGTGTGTGTGTGTGTGTGTGTGTATGTGTGTATGTGTATATATATATATTTTACTGAATTTAAACATTCAACAATTTCACTGATTTGAAATAGATCATTCAGGACTGCCCTTGTCTTCTTGGGGATCAAACCCAGGGCCTCCTACATGTTAGATAAAAGGTCCACCACTGAGCTGTATATATCTTCAGCCAGTATTGTCTGAAATTTATGGTGGGATAAGGAGGATATTGCAACAATGAATTTCATGAATAAAATAAATGTTAATGACTTTTTAAAAATACCCTAGGGCCAGGGTATAGCTCTTTGGTAGAGTGCATGGTTAATGTGTGCCTTGATTTCAGTCTCCAGCACCAAAAACAAAACAAAACACAGTGACTAAATACACTGAATCACATTGTATCTGTTTCTGTAGGAGTCTGAGAAGTTGATAAAAGATCTTCCCGGGGGGAGAACTTAATAAAAGACCTCCTTTTGGGGGAGTCCTGGTTCCTCTTCACATATTTCCAAGCAAACATATTTCAGGGAACATGAAAGATTGAGATCCTTTTATGATAACACATTGAGAGTGTTGTATGAGTGAAATTCAGTTAATAAGCAATTGTTATTACTCCCTGTGCCTAATCCTGTTGGAAAGATGAGATCAGCACAAAAAAAAAAAATGTATGGGTTAAGTAAAGGACAGTTTTTCCATCTAAATGGTTTCAACTTGCCTGAAAATCCAAAAAGAATACCATTTCAGCACGCCAGTTTGTTTTGCTTTGTGTGTGTGTGGTGTGTGTGTGTTTGAGACAGAGTCTTGCTATGTAGTCCAGAGTTTAGGCTGGCCTTGAACTTACTACATAGTCCATGCTGGTCTCAAACTTTCCACAGTTTTCCTGCCACAGACTCCCAAATGGTAGGATCACAGGTGTGTGCCATCACACCTAGCTCAACATGACAGTTTTATAAAAAATGAAGTTATTTCACTTTTTTGCTGAAAATCTTTAAAATGTAGGGAGTGTCTGCTGTCCAGGACCCAGTGCCACACGGAGTTAGGGGCTGTGGTATGAGATTGTGTAGATAAGATGTATTTAAGTTCAGCTACATATTTAAGATGAAATATGTCTAATATCCATACACATGTATGTTCACACATGTATATATACTACTTGTTTGGTTTCTTGTATGAAAAAGGAATATATTTGTTCAGTCTTATAATTTATTTGTCCCTATTTCTGAAATGCAGAAAAGTTCTTTTTTCTTTCACTTTAAGTATGTCACATACTTTTTAGTCTTTAAAATAATACTTGTTTTACAACATAGTTTGAGGTGTTATGTGTTATGCCCACCCACTGCTATTTGAATTTTAGAATGCAGACCATAGGAAGATTAGCAAGTAAGCACCACTGGGGAAAGAAATGTTTAGGTATTTTGAGAAAAATGTCTCAGTTATTTAGACTATATCATAAAACTTTATTCCCAGCATTGCTATTGTCCTACCAGAAATGGTGTAGATGAATCATAGAATCAGTTTAGTTGTATTAAATTTAGTTTTTAATGATTATTTTCAAGGCAATATAAGCAAATGCATAAGACACCAAATTGTTTCTACATTTTACCAGCATTCTCAGGACTTTGTATATATAAATGAAGCAGTTAAAAGTCAAATTTTCCTTAATAATTTTGTGTTCAGCTGCGTTCTTTTCAGGTATTATTCTGTGAGCTAACACTGTTGGGCAGACACTTTATCAGCATCTGCTGCCTAAGGCTGAGAAGAAGCTCCCTAACTCATTGTGCATGTACAAGGGTCCCCCAGCTTTGAGAGCAGTAGCCCAGGCCTTTCAGTAATCATCAACTTACAGCAAGGGGAAGGGGCACAGAAGCTTGTTGTTTACTCTTGACTTGGAGACACAATGTGCCTGTAGCACGAATAGAAGTAGTTATAAGAGGGAAAAGAAAAATCTGAATGCAAGAATAAAGCCAAGGTTCTTTCTTCCTATATGAAAAGAGATGGGGGAAAAAGGAAGAAAGGAAACTGGTTTAGGGGATGGGAAAACTTGCTGTTGAAATGACAAATGAATGAGAAAGTTTCTCAAACTCCAAGGAAAGAGCAAGAACGGAGGGTTTGAATTCTACTTCAATGCGAAACATAACAGAACCTACTAACCCAAGGGAGAACTGCATAAATAAGAGCAGTGGTTTGGTGTTAGGCAGATTTGAGTTGAATCCTGACTGCAGTAAACCACTCAAAAACTGAAGGACTTTCACCTCGATAATCCTTTGAAATCTGTTTCTAGTCTGTGTAATTGGGATAACAGTAGTTGTATAGGTTAAATTAGATAGTATTTTTAAAGAACTCTGAACTTAGTAAGCACTTAATGAAGACGATGTATTTGTTTAGAATTTTCCATTCTCAAAATCTGGTGCTACCGTGGATTAGATAGTGGTAAAGACCTTCACTGGAAGCATTTTCTGTTTAAGTTTCCAGGTATTGTATTGGACTTAGATACTAATGTGATAAAACGAAGAACATAGAGAATGTCCTCAGAAGACTTTATGCCATGATAGCCTAGGTGACTTCAATCTGTTTGCCCTCCAAAATTGACTAGACTAGTATAAGGTCGTGAACGTTCTTACTTAACCTGTGTCTTACCGACTTTAGATATGAAAGATACTAGGTTTCAGAGATTATGTAAACTCCAGAAAAGGGAACTTTGGGATAAACTCCAGCCATTTTCCTCTGAAAGCTTGTTGTATAAATACAAATAGATGCAATCAGAAGTTTTAGATTTTTAAATTGGCCATAGGGATGACCAGTCAGCATGTAGATAGACGTTCAAGAGTTCCTTGCCTGAGGCATAGAGGCTGAGATTAAGGCACTTAACCAGTACAAACCAGATTGTTTTGTTCTCCTCCCTAATTGTAGATGTCATTCAATCCAGTCTACAATCTGACAAGCAGGTAACTTTAGTTTCAGGGAAAACTGAGACAAGGTTATTGCTCCTGACATCAGCTAAAACATTGTGCTCATGCATTATTGGTGCTAAATCACTAACATTCTCTTTTATAAAGAACAGCATTTTAGCTAAAATTAACTACAGTGAAACTATAACCAGATCATTTATTCATGGATAATATTTAGATTTTAGTCAAGTGGGTGTCAGACATTTTGAGGGCTATGTTGTCATATTAGCCTAAATTTCCTCCTCAGAAACATGGAATCCTTTTGGGGGAAGATTTTTAGAAACTGTCAGACATTATTTTGTTACATGAATAGAAATAATTAAGAAATATGGAATAATGTATATAGTTTTTATTTACTTGTTTTATGGTTTAGTTGGCTGAAATAGACTGATTTTTTTCAGGTTTGGTTTTGGGGTTTTTTAGCTGGGAGTACTGGGAATTGAACTAAGGGCCTCACACTTGCCAGGCAGGCGCTGTGCCACTGAGTTACATCCCCTACCCCTGTTCAGGTGCGATAAGTAATATTCAGGAGAGTTCAGTGATAATGCTAGCGACAAGGTAGAGGTATTGGAACATACATTACTTCATTGCACATTGCAATATTAAATATTATTTTAGCTGTTTTATGGAAGGGTTTCAGACAGGTATTTTTATGGGAATGAAGAGAGGAGAATAATTGAAAATAAGAGTAATTTGCACTGAAAATTATAGAATACGTAACGAATTTAGTTTCTAGATGAGGTAGACCTGAGAGGTGATATTTTCTCCAAACAAGAAGGAATTCCATGGAATTTTGTGAATTTAATAAAGTGTTGTACCTATAAACAAAAATTAAAAGTTCCCAGCAGATGTATTTTAATTTTGTATTTGCTGCCCATAAGGCTATTCATTTTGATTTTTTTAAAGTGACAGCAGTATTCATTTACCCATAACTTTAAAAAATCTAAGTTTGGGTTCTTTCTATAAAAAAGAGTTCTTGTAAGGCCTAACTTTTAGTAGTCTTTTCCATTTTCTTAAATGTAAGACCTTATTTTTAACATATTTTGTATTATGCTTCTTCGTCTCAACATTTGTACTGTCTTTTGCCTGAGGGGAGTTTATAAACTACCTCATTTTTCTGCATTTATGTATTGGGTTTCTTCTGCCCGGTTCATATCTTGTAACTCTTTACCATGGTCAAAGTTTTTTTTTTTTTAATTTGAAACTTATTGCTGTGGGGATATTTCTTCTTCATGAAATGAGTTCACCTCTATTGCCACACAATAAAAGAGCTCTCAGCTTTTGAGAGCTTCTTGCTTCCTTATGAAATATGGATAGACTTCTGCTTCTGAAGTGTTTTAGGTTTTGTTTCTTAAGGAAGAAGAGGAATAAATAGTATGAGGTATGTTCCTCCTTTTAAGATCTAGGGATATCTATGTTTATAAGATAAATGAGAAGAAAATTAAGAAACTTTAAAGCTCTATATGAGAATTAGCTAGAAATTAGCT